CGAAGCGGCGCGTATGTGGACGGGGAGCAAACATTGTGTAGATGAAATAATCTTCCAAGCAGGCAGAACTACTAGGGCAAACTTCCGTCGAGCTGGGTTCTGTGGTTTATCCCTAACTCATTCTTATGGCACTCATCTTGTCCGACCTCTACCTTGACAATGCACCTTTTGCTGACACAAATTTTCAAAATCTACAACAGTTAATTTTCATTTCTTATTGGACCTCTTTGTCTGTCGACATTCAGTAATCATTCCAAGAAATGGGAGGTGAAGCTACCAGACGTGCGGGCACGATGGAAGAATTTGATTGCTCTTCTTCATCCATAAAGGTATAGATGCACAGCAAGTGTGATTCGAAAGCTTTTGATTTCTAATCTTGTGACACGTTGGTAAAGAGCATCCAAGTTACAGACACTGGTTGGTGTGTGTCAAGACAAGGAATTTCATGGCATGTAGAAGTAGAGCGAATGAACCGTCTCTTCGCCCTCAGGAAAAGAGAAAAGTCACAAAATTTCAGGAGATACTGTGATATGGCTATATGATCTTTTCAATTCAAAACGTGGCTGCCGACCAGTCCTCAAGATATCTGGGCTGCCGCCATCTACGTTTTGTGGGGAAGAGAGAGCAAGACCCCAAGTATAGGCGCGGACAGTAAGAGAAAATTGTTGGTTGCTTTTCCGAGGGCGCCTGCCACGTGTCCTTGAATGGCCAAGACGTCCAAACCGATGCATCTTCGAAGACGGGCCAATGTCTTGAGATTTGTCCCAATATTTGTTTTGAATTCTGTAGTACTGTAATTGTTCCCGAAAAGAAGGATGTGGCAAGCCTCTACGCTAGGCATGGTCAGCGTCTTGATCGAGGTGTACAGAGCCTGATACCAGTCTCATAAGCTCTTCCTCGATCCGCGAAGGAATGCTGAGGCCGGCCGTAGACGTCCGCATTGCCTAGAAGTTGTTAGAAGGAAGTCTGATGGTCACGTTTGGGAAGCACTTACAGTTATATGGTTGCGGATCTTCTGTAATTCTTCCTTATCACCAAGCTCGTCCGGCCCACCGCTCTTGACCTTCTTGACGACAAGATCCAAAACAACGGAGATACTCTTTGCATATTTCCCCACATCTTCACCTGTAGCGCCCGCGTATTTCAACTGCTCGCCCACAACATCCAGCCATAAACTAATGCCTGTCCACTGTAGTATGTGGCCGCCTAGTGCAAGTGTCTGAACGCGTTCGGGTCGGAAAAGAAAGTGAATTGTGCCTGAGGGGGAAAAGACTGTCCAGCCTGGGCGGAGTACAACATACCTCCAACGGCTGTCTCTGTGGGGTGCAGTGGGGTTAAGCATCCAATCACGATACTCCCCGCGGGTCGGACGTGACATCCATCCAAAGCCGATGCAGCCCTCTTGAGCTGTAATCCAGGTCGAAAGACCGTGGCTGTCTATGCGAGGTACCGTATTGTGTCCACCCTCGGAGAGGAGAGCCCATTCTGAACTTTCTCTCCACTCATGCCCGGGTCGGGTTGATCCCTCTGCCTCTGCCTCAGCTCCTGCCTGGACCGCGTCACGCATTCGCGACAGCAACTGGCAGTTGTCACCATCCAGAAAAGACGGCAGGATCGATGGTGGAAGCGGGCTCCGGACGTCGAGAAGGCTCCAAGGGTCGGTGGTAGGCTGAGCGCGTAGGAAGCGCTCGCACACCTCTCTCAGCGATTTGTGCAGAGATTTGTGTTGAAACGGATGGCCGTATGTACCGAGGGATGATGTCTGGACAGCCACCAGCCGATCGAAATCTACTATTCGATCGAATAGCTGCCTGATAGGATGACCTTCACGCCAGCGGAAACGCTGCTGGCCTTGTGTGAAGACAGGAACTCCAGGAAGGTGGACCTCGAACCCTATCGCTGCCTCATCTCCGGACCAAAAATGCGCCTCAGTGGTGCTCGACCCACTCAGCACCGGTGGTGTACTGTCCAGCAATATATTGTAGACCAGGTCGTCTCTCATCTCCCCTTGAGAGCTCGGGACTGCTTGTCGTCTCTTTATTTCGAGCTGATGGAGGACCTGCTTCCGAAAGGCTTCGTCACCAACCCGGTCGTGCGTCGGCCGACTTTGTTGGGCTATAGTAATTGCTGAAGGCCCTTGGTTGTACGATTGCTCATCAACCCGGATTCTCCTGTACGCATGATTTCCATCGGCGTCAGTAAATGAGGCCCGGCGCCGCCGCAGACCACTGGCTGCAGGTGAGATATCTTGACTATCCTGTTCAGAAAGGACGAGTGCCTCGGCGAACCTCCGCACATGTTTCACACATAATTCTCGCGGGATGGCACCACCGCTATTCCGAACGTGACAGACCAGAACGCGCATTTTAGCAGCACGATCCGCTGTTCCAAGGTCGAGGATCTGCAAAAGCTCGGCTGAAATAGTGGCTGGACAGCACCGTTCTAAGTTCGTCGTCCCAAGTGGCCCAGGGATTCCTTCTGTGGGGCACTCGCTAGTTTTGGATATTGAGTTAAAGACCCTGCCTTTCCTTCGGCGGGGCGCGCGCGCTTTAGGAGGGCCAGGGTCAACAACGATGTCGGCCCTGTCGTCATTAGCGTTGTGAGCATCCTCCGCGGCCTGAACATCGGCCTCCTCCCCGGGTGCTCCAGGATCTGAGCAAGATGAGGAACCAGTCTCAGGAGTATTGAGGGCCCTTGAGTCTGTACTCTCCCTCCTGGCAGCGAATTCCGAACGCTGGCCGGAAGTGGAGTCAGGGATGGTGAGGTCACTTGACGGTGCCTCGCTGGTTATTTCTGATACTGGTGAGATCATTGTCGTATCTTGGTCCGCAGATCCGCGGCTGCCAACGACAGGCTCGGATTCCAGTAACGTCACTTTCTTGTGACCAATCTCAGGTGCGTTGGTCCCATTTTGTGTGGCTGGTAATGCATGTTGGCTGTGGACTAGGAGTCCAAACTTGTCGAAACCGAACCCGTCAGGCACCTCTTCAGGCCCAAGGCCCTTGGGATCGAGCTCAACCAGGTCAGGGTCTTTGTCTTTGACGTACGAGTGCTCGCCTGACCAGGCTCGCAGACAGTGTAGCTCGTTCTCGTCGAGCGGATCTGGCGAGTTCCTTACGTGGCGTCTCCTGTGCTTGCGCTCCATAGTAGCTCTCCACCACAAGAGCCGGTTTGCCTTGGTGACAAACTCCTGCCATGGCATCATCTTCGCGACGGCGCCAAGCTTCTTGCAGAAAGACAAGCCTCTGTCGTGCCAGAGATAGTGTTGAATCTTATCTCGGCCCCAGACAAGGCTTGCGAGCTTCAGGTATGGTAAACACTTCTCGATGACATCGGATCCGCTGGCTGCGACGCCGACGAAACGCTGCCATTCTTCGTCGTCGTCGGCCCTCTTTCGTGTCTGCCTCCTTTCTTTGTAGCTTTGATGTTCTGGACAAGTGGCGAGTATGGCCTTCTCAGCAATAAACACCCCCAACGAATCATGCCGTTCCAGCAGCCGGCTGCGCATCTGTCTGCATAGAGAGAATTTCTCGGCATCGGTCTTGCAGCGGCGAACGCCTTCATTGAACTCCTTGAGGGACTCGGCTTGCGATTCCGTTAGGAGGACGGAGAAATGGTCGATCTTTTCTTCTTCCATCGAGGGTGAACTGTTGGCAATCGGCGGTAAGAGGACAGTTTGGGTCAGTGCCGTGTGGACTGTGAGCTTGTCTTTATTCGATTGAAAATCGATCTTCTGCTTGTGCTGACTCCTTAAGTAACTACAGTAGTGCGGCATTAATCATATAAGAAGCTGCGGTGACCAGATTGAGGCGTCAAGTGACTGCTTGGAACATTGGCCGTTATACAATGAGCGCTTGCGCGCCTAGTGATGAGAATCGTTCAATTTGAATTAGTCTGAGCTGGTGTTACGATTGGCTGACGTAGCAGATCCCCGTAAGCTAGGCCCACTTGAGCTCGCCACAGTTGCGCCTTTGTGCCAACCCCTGTACCTCCCATCTTTAAGGTCCCGAAAGCAGGCCCGAACTGATTGATGGTACAGTAGCAGTGTGCAGAGTGCAATGGCCTTTTCCCACTGGGATATGATACCCATGTAGGCCTGAGTACACTTCAGCTGGTGTCCTACAAATCCTAGAATATGCATGTAAGTAAAGTCGAGCTCAACCATCTCGAAGAGGAAAGAGGTTGGACATGATAGATGGTTGACTACAGTACCATATTACTGTAGCATCTTCGTTAATCTCGCATACAAATTGCAGGAGACTTTTCGTTTGTGCCCGATGTCCCTGCACAATAATCAGCAGATAGTATTTGGAGCCCTGTACGTCCATGTTGGTGTCTCCGCAGGATCATCCGGATTGGGAAAGAAGCCCACCACGCTGGTCGTGCCCTTTGCAAAAGTTCCCATAGGCTCACCAACCTGCAGGTTGCACGTCACAAGGCCATTAGGTGGGTAAATGGACAATTGCCTAGTCCTCCTACTGAAGCTAGCTACAGTACTTCTGCCTTGTGAACGTTGGCGTGTAAGGCGCAGCCTGCTTGCTCGCTAGGCAGTGGGGCGGTCGCCATGTGGACAGGATTTAATTTCCTGCCGGAAAAAGTTCGCATGGTTTACGAGTCGACTCAACCAATCAAGCAATCAAGCAATCAAACAATCAACCAACGGTCTTCATTGATGAAAGCGGAAGCGATCGTGGTCTTGTTATCCTGGGACGAAGTTACGCTCCAACAGGCGTAACACAAGTGCAGATCAAGCGATTTCATCGTGGAAAAAGGGCACAGATATTGCCAGCATACACAATAGATGGTGTTATCTATTGCGAGGCGTCCTGTATGAAGAGAACACGGATATCGAGGTATTCGAGGGTTTCCTGGAAAGGTTGCTGCCTTTCTGTGGCAGATAACACAGACATAGCGCCAGGCAACGCCTGCAGGTATTCCATGCCCTATATAGAACTGATACATCCGTTCCTGATTGGCAACCAGCATATCCAAGTCATAACAATGAGCCAAGGTCAATTCCTGGA